ATTTATTTGATAGAGAGAGAGACAACGAGAGAGGGAACACAAGCAGGGGGAGTGGGAGAGGGAGAAGCAGGCCTCCCGCTGAGCAGGGAGCCCGATGCGGGGCTCGATCCCAGGACTCTGGGATCATGACCCGAGCCGAAGGCAGACGCTTAACGACTGAGCCACCCAGGCGCCCCACCAGAATCTTCTCTTAAATCTACATCCCAAGCCAGGGAAATCAGTTATTTTGAAATACCTCCTCCCAAATTGCAAAATTGTGGAGGAAAGTGACTCTGATCTTGACAGAAGGGTATCTAAAGGAATTGATCAGTTCTCCCATAGTCTTTATTTTATCCCAACTTGATGTGGTCCTGGATGATCATCTCATTATCTAGTCCAATAATAGCTATTCTCACAGGGTTTTCATTCAATCTGTGCTTAGTTATGGCAACTATGCAGCTCTGTTTCTCCGGAGACATTCTAAACAAACATGAAGAAACAGATCAGGAAGGAGAAATCTTGGGTTTGTAAAACATACTTGACGCTGAAGTAGAAATTACCTGCCTTGTAGGACTCCTGCATGAGTGACATGTTTTCTAAGAAAAATCGTTGGATTTCTATTTCTGACAATATGGTGGGCTAGATATGCAGGGAAATCCTCCTGGTACAGAACACTCAAAATGATGGATAAAATATTAAAAACATATTTTTAGGGTCGCCTGGGTGGCTCAGTCGGTTAAGCATCCGACTCTTGGTTTTGGCTCAGTTCATGATCTCGGGGTTGTGGGACTGAGCTCCGTGCTCAGCGGGAGTCAGCTTGAGATTCTCTCCCTTCCCCTCTGCTCCTCCCCCCCAGATAAATAAATAAAATCTTTAAAAAATATTTTTAAAGATTCTATTTATTTATTTATTTGACAGAGAGAGAGAGAGGCAGCGAGAGAAGGAACACAAGCAGGGGGAGTGGGAGAGGGACAAGCAGGCTTCCTGTGGAGCAGGGAGCCCGATGCGGGGCTCGATCCCAGGACCCCGGGATCATGACCTGAGCTCGATCCCAGGACCCCGGGATCATGACCTAAGGCAGATGCTTAACCCACTGAGCCACCCACGCGCCCCCAAAAAACCATATTTTTAAATGCACTGTTGGGCCAGCAGAAAAGTAGGGGAAAGGAATAAGAGAAGGAATAAGAAACCATAAAACCAAAAATGGTAAGCCAGCACTGAGGCCAGTTGCCTTGATAGTATCTGCAGATTGTTGGTGCCCCAGGCCAGGGTTTTAATAGGCCAAATTTGGGTGCAAGAGACAAAGCCTGGGACCCATACAAAATGGGAAGATGAGTCAGAGACCCTGTCATAAAGCTGGGGTCACCAAAAGGCAATACCCTCATTGCGGGAAAGAGAGTTGGCAACACTTGCTATAAAATAGACCTTGGCTGGGGTGGGGTGGGGGGAGTTCCCCAAAGATTTCTAAGCCCTCAACCTTTGCGGGCCAAAAAAGCCAAAAAAGCCCAAAATTTCGATTGGTCTCAATTTAGTAGTGTTTCTAGGCACAAGCAAGTACAATTCCTCTCTGGGAGAATATACTTTAAATCTAAGCTTTGAAGGATTCCCATGAATAAAATTGTAACAAACTTGAGCTCAGAGCAAACAGTTATAAAAATCTGAAGGAAACATAAGCCAGCATAAACAAACGATAGCAGAAACACTGAACTGTAAAATCACACTGGCAATGACTGCAGATACAGTAACGTTTAGGTACATGATACGCATTAAACATGTTTCAGATGTTTAAAGAAATAACAAGGATTTTGAAAAGACAATGCAGGAACAAGAGGCTAAAAATGAGCAGGCAAAATTGGGGAAAAATAATAATTTCTAGAAATTAAAAATATAATATTTTAATTAGGAACCCAGCAGATGATTAGAAACTGCTGAAAACAAGTAAATTGGAAAATAGATCTGAAGAAATGACTCAGAATTCAGTACCTATGGACAAAGAAAAGAGATGGAAAATAGAAAAAGAAGAATATAGGAGAATATATTCATGAATCTGAAATAAGGAAATACTGCTTAAAGAAAATATAGCACAAACTCTAAAGGAAAAAATCTGATAAGTTGTACTATATAAAATTAAGAACTTCTATTCATCAAAAGGCACCAACGGAGAGAGTGAAAAAGACAAATTCACAGGCTGGGAGAAGATATTTGGGATGCATATAATCGGAAGGGCTTATATCAAGAATATATTAAAAAACCCCACCAAGCAATAAGAAAAAGACTGACCATCCAACTGTAAATGGGCTACAGACTTAATGAGGAACCTTTTTTCTTTTAAAATTTTTAAGTAATCTCTACACACAATGTAGGGCCTGAACTCACAACTCCAAGATCAAGAGTCGCATGCTCCACCGACTGAGCCAGCCAGGCATCCAAATGAGGAACCGTTCTAAGGAGGATATCCCAGTGGTCAAGACGGCCAACTTCAATAGTGATTAGAAATATGCAAATTAAAATTACAATTCACATTCACCAGAACGGTTATCATCTGTATCTATTAAATCTAGCAAGAACACTCCTAGGTATATATGCCCAAAATATGAGTGCACAAGTGCATGGAAAGATGTGTACAAGAATCCTCATAATAGCGTTTATCT